AGAATACTCACATGTTAATGATGCAAAACCAGATGATAATACAACAAATGGCAAGCTCAAGGACAATCAGGATATCAAGCCGGTCAAAACTATTCTGCTGTTCATATGGGAGCAAGCCCTTATGCTATGCCTATTTATCCAATGGGACCTAATCCTTCTGGCTAGCCCATAGCCCATGCTGCTGGCTGTCCAGTAGTAGGTCAAACCAAAGGTTACCCAATGGGCCACGGTATTCTTCCTGAACAGCAATTTGCTGGACCTTATCCACAACCAAAAGTTTCCTATCCATCACCGACAACTAGACTTGATTTGAATCAGCTACAAGGACAACCATCTCCTCCGTCGTCTTATGCGAGTGTCACTAAAAAGTGAGATAAATCTGGAACCTTTGCTTATTTAAAATGTGTCACCTATACTTGATACTGCTTTTAAGATTATTTTGTAATAAATACGTCTGTTAATGTTTTTAAGGATTTAAAAAAGATTCGTTTGCCATTTCAAGCTTTAGAATCAGCAGTTAGCATTATCATAAACATAATTTCAGTTAGAAGTATCACGAACTTATTTCAGCAAGATATACAATAAACCTCTTTCCATAAAGAAATACCATAAATCCGATTTGAGTGAGAAATATCATAAACCTTATTTCAGTGAGAAATGCCATAAACGTTATTTCAATGAGAAAAATCATAATCTTTATTTCAGTGCGAAGAACCATGAACCTTATTCTAATGAAAAATTTAACCTTATTCTAATGAAAAATACAATTACCCTTATTTCAACGAAAACATTTTTAGTAATCTAAATTTGATGGAATGGCATATGTTGGAGCATCATGTATAGTGAGATTAATAGCAGATTATAATTTATACAATTTTGTAAATTTTACGGACGCCATCACGAGTTGGTTGACCGTTATGGAGTATCCATTTCACAGATGACAACGGATATGTTCCAATTGTCGTAACTACAATCCCGTCCCCTTTTCCCCGAATGTGACCATCCGAATTAGACTTAGTAATCACCGGGTTTGTACTAACATTAGCAACACGACGGGTGCCACATGTGGAGCAGAATCTGTTTACCCTTCCGGAGCATCTGAGATGACCCCCAGTTTTTGGTGGGGTTCGTGTTGCTCAGTCTTTGGTTTTCTATGTTATGTTTTGTGTACTGTTGTTTGTCTGCTTGTATTTTTCTTTTTGAGCCATGGCGTTGTCAGTTTATTTTCGACTTATGAGTTTGAATGTCCCTTTGGTATCCTTCGCCTCTTTTTTTATGTTTATCTAAATCAACATTTTCATAATGACTCGAAAGTTTTATTTTAGTGCCACAAACTATTGGTTGGGGCCATAGAGTAAAAATCATGACTGTCCATCCTTCTACTACAACTCTTATAACCATTTTATTTAACAATTAATCATGTTACTTGATATGCAATCATTAGAATGTATGTCACAAAAAAATGATGGGATATCTCTCTTATATGAGTGATTTAAACCTCACATGCGTAAAATTGGCAATTGAAGGTACCGAGGTAATGTTTAAAAAAACGAAAAAATCGGCCCACTATATACACAAGAGTGCACAGTTTGTAAAAGATAGGTCTTCATGAATATGTCTGTATACAGAAAGTGTAATACCCTTCATAAGATTCATAAGTTAGTTTGATATCTAACCCTTGACATTGACCCCATCTTCATGGTCAACTATATATAGATACTACAAGGTGGAAAATTTCCAAAAATATGGAATCTTTCATACATTTCTTTCATTTTTAAATCATGAGATCCTAACGATTGCAATAACTATTATGATCTGTGTGTCTCAAGTTGCTTAGGAAAATTATTAACTTTTCTACGGCAAATGGATTAACCATAATCATATAGTCAAAAGATTTACTTAGTGTCAACCAGGGAGGTTTTCGAGAAGGGTATAGAAAAAGTGACCACATATTCTTTCAGAAAACTTTAATTTATAAATATTGAAATAGATGGGAAAAAAAACTTTACATCTGCTTTTTGGACTTCCAAAAGGCATTCGATGGTGTTGTAAGGAAGGCATTATTTCATAAATTGCTCAAAAAAAGAATAGGTGGCTAATTTTATGACTTTTTATAAAACTTATACATAGTAATACATTATATTGTTGTTAAACATATGGTTCCATTAGTTAATCGTTGCAGGCTTTAATATTTTTGTTGATGACCTGGATTCCTATTTTAATCATATTTTAACTGATCAGTTTAACCTGAATCAAATAAATTTTAATCATCTTCTTTATGCAGATGATTTGCTCTTACTGGCTTGCAACACTGTGTGGATGCCTTAGGGTACGACCATTTGATTTTCGGGATGGGGGAGGACGATTTTGAAAATATATAGCTTGGCTTGGTAAACACTGAAAATAAATGACTTGCACAAGACAGGATGAAAATTGATTTTTGCAACATAAAGTGCCGGATAGTTTAGAATACAAATGTGTACAAAAGTGAAAATAAATTTTCGCGCGGCTAAAAAATAAGCATGTGTAGCAACAGATGAAAATAAATTATCAATTCAAAAAAAAAATCCCCAGAAAAACAAATGGTCGTCCCCTTTCAGTCCTTTTGTAGTGATTGAGATCTTAGTGTGAATATCATGAAAACTAAGATTATGATTTTCTCGAACAGTAAAAGTAGATCTCTAATAGACGGACATTGTTTTGATTTTGGTCCGCAACCATTAGAATCTGCTATAGAATATAAATACCTAGGTACCTTCAACAATAGCGGTGAACTAACTATAGCAGCTGAAAATCTTGCTGATGAAGCATGCAAGGCATATTTTGCCTTAAAATCAAAATTACTATATTCTATATCTGTTGCGATGGGAAAATTGGTGATATATACCTTTCAACTCATTAATTTCACCTACATTGAGTTATACCTACCTTAATGTTTCCATACGCAGGAGGTCAGTTTGCTTCTCTAAATTTGGCTCTGTTACATCTTCAGTAACTACACTTGTGCTACTTCCTGTGTTATATGTGTATTCAGTGTTATGGATCTGAAATTTGGATCTCAGGTTTTAGTATAAAACCTGACACTGCAGATACACTTCCATTTGAAAAGGTTTAGAATATGACTATTCAAAATATTTTTGGTGTCCATAATGAGGCTTCCAATCTAGCTTTACGTACTGGAGTTCTGCAAATTTTGCGGAGACCAACGGTAGAAGATGAAGTGCACTTCCTTTTATATTGTTCCCTTTATAAAATCCTTCGAGAGATCTAGAAGTTATTATAATAAGTATTTTCAAGAATTTGATTAAAGGTGATGATATCAAATCAGTAATATAGTTACATAATTTAATTTTGGATGTAAAGGGGTTTCTGAAGTTGGCTGAAAGTTATTTGTCTGTCAGCTCATAGACATAATTTTGTCATGTGACCGTGACGTCATCAACGTTTTTTTATGATTTACTCCTTAACTGAATGGAATTTAGAATTAAATTATAAGAAATGACCAAATTATTTTGATTAATTAAGGAATGACGGTAATATTTTTTCTGTCATATGAAGAAATATTACAGTACCGTCATTCCTTAATAATTTGGGTTATTCAGTGTGCACCACATTTTTGATGTTATTTCTTCATAGACAAAAAAAAATATTACGGTCATTCCTTAAAACAGTTTAATCAAAATAAGTTGGTTAATGCCAAACGAATATATGCAATTATTTGAGTCAAGTTCATTTAGTGTCACTTGGTCTACCATAAGTAATGCTAGAACTATACAAAAAGAAATAGACTTGTAGTTATTGCATATCATGAAATTTCACTTTTAATGTACTGAGACTGAGATTACTATTACACTGAGAATACAATAACACATGTGTGTAATCTCAGTTAGGCATTACAGTATGTTTTATTTACATTATTTGTCATGTTGTATATGTCATGTTTGTTGTACACTTGGATTATGCAATGTCATATGTATATTATATGTGCTTTATTTCATAAAATATTTGATTTGATTTGTCACTGAAATATTTATTTGTACTTATTCCACATGTTCCATATGATCACGCAGCTGTAAGTAATCATTAGAATTCTGATGATGGCTGGATACCTAAATAAGAAGGGGTGCAGGTCGTTTCGTAACCTGGTCGTTTCGTAACTAGTCGATTCTTAACTAGCTAGTTCATTTTGTAACTGAAACGTTTTGTAACCTTATAACAATATTTAATAATATGAGTTGTAGGGTATGGAAATAATGTTAATTAAATATTTCGATTAAAAATAATAAATCAGGCTTTATGCCAGTATAAACATGCAAACAAAGGACAACATAGTGAAGTTAATGTTCTAAAGTAAGACGATTAACAAACAAAAAACGCCGGTCCCCAACCCGCGTGAAAAGGAGGAATGTTATTCAATAATTGCATGTAATAGTAAGAAAAAAAAGTAGAAAAAATTTTTTTTCAGATCATAAGCCATTATTTTAATCCTCTTCTTAATCACTTTACACCTAATTACTTTTTATCACCTGACGTACAAAACCATTAAGCATAATCACCAATTAGCCAAGAATTTAAAATTTTAAAAATTATTACAATATTATTTTTATTAGATTCACAATTTGATCATTTTTAAGTATAAATAACAAGAACAAAACTCAAGAAATTTATTTTGGCTACAATATATAGACAATTTTGAGAGATAAACACTTCCAGAGACAAAACTAATAGAGACACACTTTATAAATATATAATTACACGAGGTACGAAACGTCTCAGTTACAAATCAACCTAGTTACGAATCGACCAGGTACGAAACGACCAGGTTACGAAACGACTAGCATTTATACATGTAAGAAGATATGGTTGATTTGTACTCCCGTCATTATTAAGAATAGTACATAGTTTCATTGGCAACCCTATCATGTATCTCCTTATTTTTATATATTGACAGTGCGGTGCTCCTAAATATATGATAACACGCAGATAAATGAACAAAAACACTTCGGTTCATTCCCCACTACCAAAATAATCTAACTGCGAAATAGTTTGTTTACATATAAATGTATCCGGTTACACTCACACACCTATAGAACAAAGTAGAAGAAGAAGTTAGTTGACACTGAGTCTTCTATAATAGTTGGATTTCAGACAAGACTAAAGTTTATTGGTGCTGTAAGTCTGTTTTATATAGTTTTAATTGTAAATTGGTGAATGTTTTAAATGTAAATAACTCTGAGAAGACTAGCTGTGTTGCCCGGCACTGTGCAAAGTTTTCGCGGGATCATACACATTCAGTATGAATACGGTTCCTTACTTGGAAGAAGAAGAAGAAGAAGATCCTGTGTTCTGAGCGATGTTTTGTTATGTATTCTTTCTCCACTGTCGGGAGAACTGTAGTGCTGAATATACATACAGCACTTCATAGAATACTATACATTTATTTCCTGTGCCTGAGGGAGAAATGAAGATTTGTATATCCAAGAAAAATCATATTTCACGACGGCATCGCCCAATGGAAATATGACTTTCCGAGGGTGAACAAATCTTTATATCTCCCTAAGCCAAGGGAAATGAATGTTTTATTCCACTGCCTATACCTTTTTTTACTTCTGAACATAAGATATTAATCAACATACTTGTTTTCTTATCCGTTGATTTTTTTTTTATAACTAAACACAACATTCACAATGATAATCTGTACCAATTAAAAGTTAATTATTGATTCATTCTTGTTTGTTTTTAGATCTGAAATTATTTTTAAAAACGAAATTACTATACAATCTTTTAAAAACTCAATCAAAACGTTTTAAAACATTAACCGCGAGTAACGTTGCACAAGGCAATCCTGACGTTCAGAGGGGAATATGAAGTTTTGTTCGACGTCACATGGGATAGTTTCAACCAATCAAATGTTGATTTCGCTATCAAAATCAGCATGCGGTGGAATAATATGCACTGTCCCACTTTACTAAAAATCTTTAAAAAAAATAGTCTTTATGTATATACAAAGAGTGAGATGGTCCCTACTGTATTTTAATCACTCAATGTTTTAATTTCACTGACTATAACAATACTCAATAGACATATTTACATGCAAATTTGTCCACCATTACTTAAAACCACACAAGTTCACGAAAACTATTGCATCACAATTCAAAACATTTGACATCATAATTTAAAATTGATTGCTGCATGCATGACGTCAGAAGGTTATTCGGACACAGATCAAGGGTCATTCAGAGAAAAAATTGTTGCTGCTTATATAGAATGAACTAGTTTGAGTTGTGGAAACTCGTTTTAATTTTTGGTATCAGGTCGTTCCGGCCCCAAGTCGATCTGGCACTAAGTCGATCCGGCCCAAGCCAGTCCGTCCCACACCGATCCCACCCCAAGTTGATCCGGCCCCAACATAAAATAATGAATAATTTATATAAACTTCGGAGGATTTAGTGACATATTTGAATCAGGATAAATGGAATTTTTAAAAAGAGGCCCCTCATGGGGGTGTCCAAGTAATCACATAATCACAAATTTTTGGCCAATATAATCACATAATCATTAATTATTTTTATAAACAAGATAATCAAATATACAAAAATACAGACCTAGATTATCAAATAATTAAATAATCATGAAATATTTGGTCTGGTAATCAAATAATCACTATAAAACAGCTAAGTAATCACATTATCATAAACCCCATGAAGATCGATGATTAATGACATGTGACAGCAGGTAAGTGAAGTATGCCTAATATTGGAGTAACTTAGAATTATGTTTGTAAGCAGCATCAGCATATACATATTAAGTTATTTTCCATGATACCTTGGAATATCATGGGGAAAAAAGTTTTTATTTAATTCACACATAGAAGAGATAAATAGATATTTACAATCCTATGGAACATATAATTATGACTGTTTTAAATGAAATCAGTATAGTCTATAATTGGGTTGTTTATTCAACAACTGTCTGATGATCGTACTAAATTCTGTTATTTATGTTTTTATTATAATTATGCCCAATTTTTTTATATAGACTAGACCGTTGGTTTTCCTGTTTGAATGGTTTTACACTAGTCCTTTTTGGGGCCCTTTATAGCTTGCTGTTCGGTGTGAGCCAAGGCTTCGTGTTGAATGCCGTACTTTGACCTATAATGGTTTACTTTTACAAATTGTGACTTGGATGGAGAGTTGTCTCATTGGCACTCATACCACATCTTCTTATATCTATATGATCAACATAATTGTTTTATACTGTACATGCTGTATAAGCATCCATAATCATTTAAGATGATAAATCGATTTGAATTCAAATATTTCATATTAAAATAATATTATATTTCTACATAAAATTTTAATATAGATTTAAAAAAAATGTTCAAACAAATGTCTCATCTTATGACAATTAAATATACAAATATTCGTCAAAGGCCAACTTTTTTACCGTTCATCTTTTATTATTATAAAATCCATAAACATTTATGAATTACAATTCATATATATCTTTATTTTAATACCTTATAAATATTTTTTATATTGGGGCCAGATCGGGAACGACTTGGGACTAAATTTTCTATACTCTTTTTTATACGCCCGTCAAAATTTTGATGGGACGTATTATGGAACACAATTGCCGTCTGTCTGTCCGGCGTAAACATGTCGCACCATAACTTGAGAACGACTCATCCAAAATTCATGAAACTTAACATAGTTGTTTTTATGATGGTCAAACGTTCTGTATACTTTTTGGTGAAAATAAGATTAAAACTTTTTGAGTTACTGGACTTAGTAACTAAAACAGGTGTGTGTTTTTTTTTCACATGTCGCACCGTATCTCAAAAACAATTTATGATTAATGATTCAAAATTTTATTTTAGAGATATTGAGTATTTTGTTAAAAAAAGGGGGAGGGGTTTTTCACATGTCGCGCCGTATCTCAAAAACAGTTTATGATTATTGCTTAAAACTTTACACACTTCTTAGTTATATTAATCTTAAGATCCGTATACCTTTTGGTGATGATTCAAAATTTTATTTTTGAGTTATTGAGTATTTTGTAAAAAAAGGGGGAGGGGTTTTTCACATGTCGCGCCGTATCTCAAAAACGATTAATGATTATTGCTTAAAATTTTACACACTTCTTAGTTATATTTATCTAAAGATCTGTATACTTTTTGGCTGTGATTCAAAATTTTGTTTTTGAGATATTGATTTTTTTTTTTTAAAAGGGGGGTTTTCACATGTAGCGCTGTATCTCAAAAACGATTTATGATTATTGCTTAAAATTTTACACACTTCTTAGTTATATTAAACTTAAGATCTGTTTACTTTTTGGTTTTGACTCAAAATTTTATTTTAGAGATATTGAGTTTTTTTTTAAAAAAAGGGGGTTTTCGCATGTCAGGCCGTATGTCAGAAACTATTTATGATTATTGCATAAAAATTCACACACAAGAAGACGGGCGTATCATGCGCTCATGGCGCAGCTGTTTATTAAATTTTTTTGTGTGGCTATGATGATACTGTACAAAGACCAGTTACCAGACCATTCTATTCAATAACAGGAGCCCTGTGTAAAAACATCATACTGCTGATATCTTTAGATAAATGTTTTTATTTCATTTGTATAAACTCTGTTTTGTTTGATCCAATTAAAATAGAGAATTGGAAATGCTCAATTTTGTGTAAACTGAATCATTGTGGGAAGATACATGTGTATCGACATGATATCATTGCTTTATGAAGTCTCAATTTAGGAAAAATTTTCCATTTTAAGACAAAGCAGTATCTTTATATAAAAAGTAAAATCACAAAAATACTCAACTCCGAGGAATATTCACAAAGTATATATATATTGTTGCTTTAGAATATACAATTTATTTCAAAAGAATTTAAAAAGATTTAAAAATTACAAAATTAAAGTCTGTACATCTCTTCAATACAATGTATATGGTTGATTACAAGTGACTTAAAGTTCACACTCAAAGCAGGACAGAAACCTTCCAAATTAATAGTCGGAATTGTGACATGTTTGGTTCAATTGACATACCTTCTATGCAAAAGCAAAACACATGTATAATATAAATTCTTTCATTTAATTGCAAGATTCAAGTAACAGGAATCAATTTAGTTATTATTATACCCAATGTTTTGACCCTTCTATCAGTCTGTCAGTCCCTCCGTCAGTCCTGTTCTTGTCATTGTAACTCCTTTGAAACTACACAACAGAATTTCATGAAACTTTGTAGATTATAAGGACATACTATTACTATGTTGATGTGCATATCGACAGGAAATTATGATTTAATTTTTTTTCTAGCAGTTATGCCCCTTTGAACATGGAATTTTGGCCTAAATTTACTGCTGCAACAGTTTGTCATTGCAACTCCTCTGAATCCACACATCAGAATTTCATGAAAATTTGTTGATGATTATATATAAATTAGGACATAGTATGTAGTTTTGCATATCGACATTAAATTATGATTCAATTTTTCCTATGAGTTATGCCCCTTTGAACTTAGAATTTTGGCCTAAATATACTGATTCATTAGTTTGTCACAAAAGAATTTATGAAACTTTGTAGATAATTAGGACATAATATGAAGATGTGCATATCCACAGTCACCACAAGAAACTTTTATCAGTTGACTTTTGTAGGAGTTATGAGTCTTTGAACTTAGGAATCTGGTGAGATTTTGTTTGTCTAGTGATAATGTGGGGCTCTGGGTATGTGAGTGTACTCACAAAGGTTCTTTAATTTTTTAAAGCCTTTCTTGGGCAAGTCATATCAGTTATATTTTTTGTTGTATCACAACTTATGTAAAATGTGCACAATTTACCAAACTGTCTGTTATCATGGTTGTTATTTATATAACAGATATATATAAATGTCTTCCTTCTTTTTGACAAAATGGCAATTTCATTATAGATTTCAAGCGGATAAAGAATAGTTACTTTTGTTTCTGATAATAATATACTTGTATTATAACATAACTTCACAAATTAGTTTTGTATGTATGCATTTTTATATTGCTTAAATTGGCTATAAAATAAGTCCTACATTGTATTTCTATGTGAGTATTATATGCGAGTGTGACCTACCAAATTAGACATATCACCGATTTTGTACTTACATGAGCATCACGACGGATGCCACATGTGGAGCAGGATCTGCTTACCCTTCCGGAGCACCTGAGATCACCCCCAGTTTTTGGTGGGGTTCGTGTTGCTCAGTCTATGGTTTTCTATGTTGTTTCATGTGTACGTGTTGTTTGTCTGTTTGTTTTTTCTTTTTTGGCCATAGAGTTGTCAGTTTATTTTCAACATGTGAGTTTGAATGTCCCTTTGGTATCCTTCGCCTCTCTTTTTTATACTTTATTTCTCATCTAGGCCTACGACAGTAAATTGTCGAGTCCTTAATGACACATACTATACATGCTGCACAAACTTATTTTTCTGAATACATTTGATCTTTTGATGAGAAGCCACTCATATGACTTACATTACAGCAATTTATTTTTCAGTATATAAGATAGCTGAATATTACACAAGCTGATATTGAAAAACAGATAAGCTGATTCAGCTTTAATGGCAGACTCTACCCAACAAGGTAAGTACTATTTTTTGTACCAAAACAAGTAACCTGAAAGATTTTCCTAATTTCGTCTGATTTTCTAGAGGATGAAAAAAACCTGAATGGAGGATGTTCATGATAAGACCTTGACAGCCAGATATTGTCACCTGACCTTGAACTCATTTTCTTATATGTCTAGGTTAATTTTTCAGGACGAGGTAACAATACATGACAGGTAAACCATATTTTGTAGATTAGTTGAGCATACACTGTATGTATTGCTGAAAAAAATCTTTATGCTGTTGTTTGTTCCTCAGTAACAGCTATGCATGATACATTGTGTAGATTAACAATATTGACCTATGTTATATAGCCAAAGTTCCTTAGAAACTGTACTTTCTCAAATTATTAAGGAAAAAGTCCACTGAAATAATTATTTGATTTGCTGTTGAGTTTACTTATTTCACAGATTTGATCTTCATCATGTTGATACAAAATCTAAAGAAAAAATTATGTAACTGAAAAAAATGTATATGATCCACATAATATTAAAATTCTTTATGGTTAATGGTCTATACAAGTGCTTGTAGTTCATTTAAAAAAAAACTCAGACTACTTTTTTAACAATATAAATGGAATTGAAGGAAATAAAGAAATCAGATGACCGAAATAAATTACAGTCTGATTAAGAAACAGCCACAGACAGGAGCGGGACTGGCTCATGCATTTTCACACTGATGAAAAAGTTATAGTGTCAGTGTAACACAAAAGCCAAAATCTTTAGACTTCATTTGCAATTACATAATCACTCGCTCGGAAAAGTTGAATCTGCAAAAAATAAGGCCTTACTTAATCTTCAGTCAAATTTAAAGTGAGATAAACATATCAACAATATAAAAAGAAAATCTGTCTCTTGGATTTATTCATGAAAACCTAATAATAGCCTTACCTAAAGTTAAAGCTCACCCATTTAAAGCCCGAGTCAGACCAAAATTAGAGTTTTGCTCAACCATTTGGGATCCACATCAAAAACAGCAAATTTGAAAATTTGCAAAATTACAAAGATGAGCAGCCCACTTCACATGCAAGAACTTACACAAAACCAGCTCAGTTATTGCAACATGAAACTTTTATATCTCAAAGACTCAAGGGGATATGTGAATACAAACAAATAAAACATACACAAAATAAATTAAAATGCATGGAGTGTCAAAGACAATTCATGTGTTAGAGAATGACATAATGTTATATGATTTTTACAAAGTGCACTAGTAAAGATATATTATGCCACATGTGGAGCAGGATCTGCTTACCCTTCCGGAGCACCTGAGATCACCCCCAGTTTTTGGTGGGGTTCGTGTTGCTTAGACTTTAGTTTTCTATGTTGTGTCATCTGTACTATTATTTGTCTGTTTGTCTTTTAGCTCACCGGGGCCTGAAGGCGTCCGTCGTCGTAGTCGTCTGTCGTCGTAAACTATTTCAAAAATCTTCTCCTCTGAAACTACTGGGCCAAATACCTTCAAACTTTAACTAAATGTTTCTTAGGGTATCTAGTTTATAAATTATATCTGAAGTTTTGATCCATTGACAAACATGGCCGCCATGGCTAAAAATAGAACATAGGGGTCAAATGCAGTTTTTGGCTTATATCTCAAAAACTAAATCTTTTAGAGCAAATCTGACATCGGGTAAAATTGTTCAATTGGTCAAGATCTATCAGCTCTGAAATTTTCAGACAAATCGAACAACCCATTGTTGGGTTGCTGCCACCGAATTGGTAGTTTTAACAAAATTTTGCAGTTTTTATTTGTTATTATTTTGAATATTATTATAGATATATATAAACTGTAAGCAGCAATAATGTTCAGCAAAGTAAGATCTACAAAAAAGTTAATATGACCATAATTGTCAATTGACCCCTTAAGGAGTTATTGCCCTTTAAAGACAATTTTACACAATTTGTTCATCAAGTTTGCTAACATTTAAAAATCTTCTCCTCGGAAATACAGGTGAGCGATTCAGGCTCTCAAGAGCCTCTTGTTATTTTGGCCATGGCGTTGTCAGTTTGTTTTCGATCTGTGAGTTTGAATGTCCCTCTGGTATCCTTCGTCCCTCTTTTATACTTATATACAACAGAATGATTCTATTTGGTCCACTGCTTCACAGTGATGAGTTGTAACATGTGAGCTCTTTTTGTTCTTGTTTGCTGATACTTAGAATTTTCTAATATGAAGTCATTTTCATCACACATATATCTCTCAGAAGCTACTAAACAGAATGACTTTGTATTTGGTCAGCAGCTCAATAAGTTGTAATGGGTGTGTATTCCCTGTTTTCCTATACTAAGAATTATGAGTGGCGTAATTCTTTACAGGACAACGTATGCATTCTTTTTGACTTTTTCATTGACACGTAACATGAACAGAAATCACATTTATTCATGATAAATTTCTCATTATCATCAGTTGTTGAACTTCATGTTGACTGTATACATAATAAATGTCAAACTCAATTGTGAATTTAAAATAGATATTTCCAGCTAATTAGATAATTTCAGAAAACAATGTCAGGTCAACATAGCTTTGATTGTTGTTTTTCAGGGTCAGAAAGTATGCAAGTATTCCAGAGGTTTAAGATTATTGGTGTTTTAGATGTTATACTTGCCAGTTCCTTACTGATTTGTGGGATAGTAGGTGCTATATATGGGGATGGTGGATATTTTGGTCCTCCTTATTTTGTTGGATCATTTGTTACTGGTGTCATTGTAAGTACTTTTTACTATCATATTTCATTTTTAAAGTAACATGTTATAATATGGTGATAGGGGAATCTTGGCCTGCCATTTCTTACTGTTTTTATATGATGGCAAAAAATTATTGCGGTCGTATATTGGTATCACGTCTGCGGCGGCAGCATTGGCGGCAGGGTCAGCGTCCTCCGAAGACATTTGGTTTCTGGACAATAACTTTAGTTTAAGTGTATGGATCTCTATGAAATTTAGCCAAAAGGTTCAGTACCACGAAAGGAGGGTTGAATATTGTGTCCATTTTTGCCCCAACTTTCAGGGTTGGACCTCTCGTTTCCAGCTGCGCTCAACAAAGCAGTTTATTTCCAGCTCATATGGCTTTGTTGGCCAATATCAGTTATCATTACTAGGCATCAGTCATTTCTTCATCCTTCTGTTTGTTAAATCTAATTTCTCTTATATATTTTCATCATTATAAAGATTAGAAGATGTGGTATGACCAGATATCAAATGATGTTGATGATTGTAACCATTTATAGGTCAATGAATGGCCTACAACTATGTCGGATCAAAAACAATACTGCATAGTAAGGTATAAAGGCCTAAACATGACTAATTGTGTAACAATTCAAATGAGAACCAACATCCTGACTTTTGAAAAAACGAAACACGTGTCTGTTTGAACCTATCTTGACAAGATAAATGTAAGGGAGTTCTATTATTTAGTTTTGACTTCTTTTTTATTTGGGGTGCAAAAAATCGCCATCAGAGGCAACTTTTTTATTCTTATATTCATCATCTTTTTGTAACCCTAACCCTAATCCTAACCCTAAACCTTTGAATTGTTTCTCCTGTAACTTGTAGGTAAAGAAATATCAACTTGTATATAACTAATGAGTTGAATAGTCTATAAAAGATGTTTTGTTTTTCTGGTAGTGTGACACATACATGAAGGGTATGTTGAAATAAGGAACAAATCTCTAATTTATAGCCCATTGAAATTCTGCAATTTCATTCACTTCTGACTTGAGCATCAGGCAATATATGCCCTTCTATTTCAGTTTCAATTTCATATATTTTTTTAATATCCAAAAGAAACTTTCAACATTGATCCCAAGTCCTTAAGCTTTATTTTGATACTAAAATTATTCAAATATTTTACGTATTTACAAAGTAATAGCTAAGTGTAGGGTTAGCTGTTTTAATTAAGATATGAATAACTTTCTTGTTTGATTTTTCTGGCCAATCTGAATGTGTGGTTTTATACCTGTAACAGAACCTAAGTTGCTATTTTGACTTCTGCTTTACTTTATTTCATTCTGTGAACTTTTTCAAGAAAAATGAAAAATATATCAGGGGTTCAAATTAACATTTGGTACTGGAAGGTCCAGGACCTTTAACACTCCAAACTGAAAGGTCCACAACCTAAATTCCAGGTCCTACTTTTACTTAAAATATTTCATAACTCAGTAAGATACAAAATTAATGTGCTTTTGGTGTTAGGTTAGCTTGTTTCATTGTCAGTGTCACTGTTGTATAACATGTTCAATAATTAATGTAGTTGTCTTGTATATTATGAATTCGAATAATTTTTTTTTTTTTGTATTGGGGAGGGTGTCACTGTGGGTGGGTGGGTTGTCTCAACGATTGGTAATTAATTACTAATTACTAATCATATCATTATCTCAAGGCTCACACTTCTTCAGCTCGATTGCAAAAGCTCACTAGAGCTTGTGTTACTTTGTTTACATTGTATCATATCTAGTTGCACTATATTTGTGAAAAGTAAGAAACTTCCATCTATTTACTGGCCCTTCAAAATTGAGAAGAAATCACCCCTTGGAATTGTAGTAATATGTTTACACTTCAAAAACATGTACATGTTATTGTAATATCAACATTTATTTATGATAAAGAAATAACTGTCACATCATGTATTGGATTTTGACATGAAAATTTGTCAACTAAAAGTAATTTTGAGTTTCTGTATACAAAATTTTCTGCCTTTTCTTTCTTTTCCATATATCTTTTGGTTTTCAATTCTAGTGTTTATATTTCATAATCATAGATGTATTTTGTCACCTGCCTGGAATTAATTTTTTTTTTTGTATTTGATTGGCAAACCCGGAATTACCCTTATCCGTCCCTGAAATCTGATCCGGGGGTCTCACTAATTAGCGACAAGAAACGTCAAGAAGCGACAAGAAAACATTTTTTTTTTATTAAGATTACTTATTCCAAATTAATATTAAAAAATATGCATTTGATTTTTGTTTAATATATGGGCAGGAATAAATTGATATTTTTTTTTTATTATATTGATAGATGAAGAAATTAAATATTTGTGAGGAAGAAAGGGATTGTGTAGTTTATATTATTGTATTGATGGAAGAAGAAATTAAACATTTGTAAGGAAGAAAGTGATTGTGTAGTTTTTATTATCCTAAGGGATTTAGTTTGTCACGGCGACGTGACAAAATAAGTTCGTTACTTGAAGTATTTACCCTTGCCCAAGGGGATATAAACGAACGTGTCCACTACAGTATAATTATAATACTTCTAATATGCATTTATCGAAGATCGAGTCGTAACCTTTTTTCCCTTGCCCAAAGGGAAATTGAAACCCTGTACCAAAGGGTTTGTTTGATACTGCGCAGTACCAAAGACGTATAAAATATACTGATTTATTAATCAAAGGTAAACCAAAATGCGTTTCGGATTCTAGCAATTGCACAGAGCACGTACTTTTGCAAGAATAAGACTGAAATGCTGACAACTTACTTTATACAAAACATAAAAGTTGAATGGCTTCGGTCAGCTTGTTAGAGCAAAAGAAATGCACACGCTATAAAATGGAAATAAAAACAAAGATTTTTCAACTTTCCTTTGAAGAATTTATTGAAACAAAAACATGAAATATTATTTCCTATCTAACAGGACAATTCATTGTTCTTGATAGGAACAACATTAGATGTGGCTTCACCCTAAGGTAATAACGGTACACACAATGTGAGACATCAAATGAGATTAACTAGGCGCGTGTCCCTTGTTTTATTGCTACAATAACACCCAATTAACACCTTCAACTTTGTACACGCGTCAGACTATACAGTTACAAGCGCCAGAATATACAATCATTGTAAGAGTGAACACCTGTTGAAAACTCATGATTGTCATTAATTTCCTTTAATCTTCTATCAACATTAAACTATTCATAAACATGATAAATATCGTTAAATGAGGCAATACGGAAAATAAAATGATGAAAAATATTCACATTTATGTTGTCCACTTGTTTGATTTCAGTTCTTTGTATTTCACAATTTGTGTCTGTATTTTCTGTACAATGATGCACAAATAATGCATTTTGCAAGTTTATTATATAGTGTTAAAAGAGAGTTTTAAAAAAAAATTATAAGATAAATATATTATTGTTCTAAAACACAAGTAAAATTAATATCATAATACGACAGGGTAAACGTAATACTTGCTGTTATACATGTATAATAAATAATGAAATATCACAAATAAATGTAGCAATTAGATCTATGTTTCAATTTTTTTTTTCTATCTATTTATTGATAGAATATTAACTTTCTTGTCGCTAAAATTGTTTTCTTTTGCATATTGTTTTAACATTTATTTGGAATAAGTAATTTTAATAAAAAAAATGTTTTCTTGTCGCTAAATAGTCTTCTTGTCGCTAAAATTCTTCTTGTCGCTAATTAGTTAGACCGTGATCCGGTATTGTAATTGTCTTCATTTCCGGTTGATGGCATCCATTGTTTTTCAATGTTGTTTTTGTCAGTCGGATATGAATTTACTCGGATTTACACATTACTTGTCGACGGTTTTCCGTATAAAGCTAGCGGTTGAACAAAATGAACATTGCAGTCATGAATAATAAAGATGAAAATAAATTTTGAGATAGTTTATTTGGAAATTTTGGTAAAAAGGTTGGCAAAGTTAATTTTTATTTTTTTTCAAATCGAAGGTCCGTCGGGCGTAGCTAGTAACCAAAACGAAAGTCCGATTGCAATAATGGAAGGTCGCGGACCTCGTACCACCGCTAATTTGAACCCCTGTATATAAAGCTTTGTCTAAACACTATTTCACTAAATTCAACCTCAAACTGGACTGGTGCCTATATGTCTTTTTTTTTATCAGAAATTGTTCATAAAATAAAAATAAGAAAGTTCAAACTTGAATTTAAAAAAGAGACACCCCCGCCAATCCTTTTATCTACAAGTTTGAAAATGTGTGTTTTTTTAAGAAAACCATACTTCTGTGGTATTACATGGATAAATGAGCAATAATGTATGTCTCTCCCAGCTGGACATCTTGCTTAACTAGTTGTTTTCTGTGTCAAATTCAGCAATTTCAAGCATTCATAGCTATCTAATATTAAGTTAAGATAAAGTAACTAATTTTCTTGTCGAAACTGTACCTTGTCCTACCTTGTGCTGAAAAATTGAACATACTGTAAATTCCATAAGATTGCACTGGTTGCTGAAAGTTTGGTGGTACAATCCAGATACTTCTGATCTGAGCAACAGACAAAATATGCCTTTCTATTTTACTATTTTAGTACTCATAAGAAACTTTAAGTAAGGATTCTATATTATTCTTTAAATCCACGTCCTTTAGCTTTCATTTGATACCAAAAATAACCAAAATATTTTACTAATTTACAAAGTAACAGCTTGACGTAGGAACTTTTTTGTTTAAAATATGAACAAATTTGTTGTAATTTCTTTCTAACTAAACCCGACTAAGTGGTTCTATATCCTAAAAGTGCATATTAAATCTTGTTAATTCTTTGTTCATTGTTCTTCCACCTGATATCCATAATTGAAGGGAAAATGTATGGAAGATCTTTTATAAAAACTGTCACTTCATCTTAGTAACAAACAAAAATATAGCTCTTATTCTGATGAGTAATTAAATCAGCACTTCACCCAGAAGGATGGTATAGCTATGGCCATCACCTAGCATCAATCATAAATCACCATGAAACCTTGTTTTTTTAAGCTAGGAGTATGTATTCAGGGGGGTTTCTAACCATTCATTGGCTTTTTTTGTTCATTTGTCCCTTTATTCATCCTTCTTTTGTATTTGCTAATGCTCCTAAACTGCTAGACAGAGTTTTTGACATATATAGATATAAGAAGATGTGGTATGAGTGCCAACGAGACAACTCTCCATCCAAGTCTCAATTTGTAAAAGTAAACCATTATAGGTCAAAGTACGGCCTCAACACTGAGCCTTGGCTCACACCGAACAGCAAGCTATAAAGGGCCCCAAAAATGACTAGCGTAAAACCATTCAAACAGGAAAACCAACGGTCAAATCTATATAAAAAAACGAGAAACGAGAAACACTTACTGTAAATTCAGAAATTATTGCATGCATTTATTACATGTATTGCGATTTTGTCATTTTAGACTAAAATGCGATTTTAATTTTTGCGATATTGAGCAAAATCCTGTTTAATTCATATAAAAAATTTCAAAATGCGAGTTTAAATTATTGCGATTATAACCCTGTCGCATTTTTCGCAATAATAAAAACATTGCAATAATTTCTGAATTTACAGTATTAACCACATTAACAAACGACAACCACTGAACATCAGGTTCCTGACTTAGGACAGGTGCAAGCTTTATTGTCAGTTCTTTTCCTGCTCAAAGCCCTACTTCCACCACCCTGTTAGAAACTAGGGGTCTAAATTAAATGGTTTATTAACAAACTTCTAACTTAAAATGATCTTATTAAGTTATTTAAAAAGAGGCAGAATATACCAAGTGGACATTCACAACTCGTTAAAACAGTTAACCTATTAAATACTTATTATATATATGTTCATGTATTAAAATCATATTTATCCTGATAGTTTCCTAAAATGTACTTAGTTCAATGTGTGTTTACTTGAAAAATGAAATAAGTGCATATGTTATTCCTACAAAATAACAACTCTATATTTTAAACATTAAGCCAAAGATATAAGGTAAGTAATGTAGCTTTTTACACTAGTAATTTTTGGTGCCCTTTATAGCTTGCTGTTCGGTGTGAGCCAAGGCTTCATGTTGAAGACCGTACTTTGACCTATAATGGTTTACTTTTATAAATTTTGACTCATTGGCACTAATACCACATCTTCTTATATCTATTTTAAGAGATTTCACTTTAGATTCACCTTTTCTCAAGCTGCATGGTCAAATCTGTTCTAATATTTATGGAATGAGGATTAGAAGATACTCTACAAAATAACCCAATGAGTTACCAAAGAGATATGTGAGCTTTTATCATCACTAGTCATCTTTTGTCTGTTAACTTTTGTCAAAAATTCACGACTCTTTTAATATATGGCTAATTGGAATAAAGCTTCACCACAAACATCATTTTACTTAATTTTCTTTTCCTCTCAAAATACATTGTCAAATATTTTTAAGGAATGACCATGTGTGGAGTGATATATGTATGGCTGATACTTCTTTTTTAGTTTTTCGATAGTACTCAAATTATGTTAGTCACAATTTAATTTTTAAAGATTTATTAATAATAATAATAATAATAATAATTCTTTATTTAAAGAGGGTTACACAGTTAGTTATAAAACTAATCTTCCCTGAGGCCCTCATGAAATACAATGAAATATAACAAACAATTACAAAATATCAAACAAACACACATATATGAAAAAATGAAATAAAAAATTGTTATGAAATATACAATTTTCAAAACAGGTAAAAATTACAAATTCATATAGTATTGGCATCATTCAAATTACCTCAACAATATCTTAAGTTTGAGTAAGTGTGTGAAAAATTATTATACATATAAAATTACACAGCTTCTTAAATTAATGTTCCAACAAGTAATTTTTTAAATCTTTTTTGAATGAGCTTGTACTTGAGGTTGATTTTTTCAGGGATGTTGGTAAGTTATTCCATAAAATAGATCCTGAATATACAAAAGATTTCTTATACAGCTCTGTTTTGGCTTTTGGAACTTGTAAATTTTTGCAAGACACATTCCTCAAACAATATTGGTTTATTTCTGGCATTTCTTTAAATTTTTCAGTGAGATATACAGGGGCTTCGTTCTTAAGGCATTTCTGCATCAAAACAGATTTGTGGTATGAGATTCTGTTCTCTACTGTCATCCACCCAAGCTGTTTAAACAGTGGAGCTGATGATGAAAGTGGATCAGCATCTAAAATAAGTCTTGCAGCCCTTTTCTGCAATTTTATTATTCTGACTAGCTCATTTTTAGCACAACCACTCCAAATAATACAACAATAATCTATCAGTGGGAGAATATTGATAAGTTATTGAAGGTATGATTTAAATATTTTTGAGTAATTAAAATTTTATTCGTGAAATCAAGAGGGCTTCATTATATGAAGGAATTTGCATAGCTACCCACCCATCTCATCTATTAGATGTCTCTGTCTAAAGAAATTTAATTGAAACTCTACTTAATACAACATGTACTGTTATTTCAGTTTCTAAAGGACAAACAAATTTTTTCTTTTATTTTCAGTTTCTCTTGAAAGGAATTTATTTAATTAACTTATATAAGAAAGGAACATCAGGTGCAACAGCTCTAGCTCAACTGGTATGTAATATACTTATGGTAGATCTGGTATGTAATATACTTATGGCAGGTCTGGTTTGTAAAAAAGTATAACAAAAAACTGAACTCTTCAAAAAGGGTTAGTCAATAAAAACTGACAAAATTGAAAGTTATTAAACAACGGAGTTAGTGAAAAACAACCGCCATATTCTTGACTTGGTACAGGCATTTTCCCAAGAAAATAGTGGTTAAACCTGGTTTTATAGCTAGCTAAACCTCCCACTGGTATGATGGTTGTTAAGAGTTCCATTATATTGACAAAATTGGGTAAGCAACCCAAACATACATAATAGGCTGATGTAAAATAATTGGGATCCTGCAGGCAAAATTATGTAAACATCACAGACATACAACACAACAAAAAAGGTTGTTGTAGATGATAGTCAATTTGACAAAGATGCCAACAAAAAAGTTTTCATAGTTGATAGTAAATCTACAAAGACGCAGATAAAAAAGTTTTTGTAGTTGATAGTACATACTGGATAATAGTATACATACTATGTACATACATGTAATATACTAATAGGAGATCAGGTGTGTAATATTCTGATTGATCTGTTTGAGCCAAAAATGTGTCCTTTTTGGCTACAATCATTTAAGTCATAAGAAAACATTAAAATGTTTGCACAATACTTTGGCCTTGGGCATCTTGGTAGAGACATTAATTGTCGAAATGTGCATCTGGTCAAATAAATGGGTACTGTTAATGCTATTGCAGAACTACTTTTCAAAATATCTAGTTTCATGTGCATTATTTACGTTCAGATGACGTAATTAGATTAAATGCTGAAATTAACTTTTTAAAGGCAAATAAATGACTTCACTTTATCAAAAGTAAAATATGGTAAATGCTTTTGATAATAACTTTATATTTCTTGTTTTAGTGACTCTTGTTTGTTTGTCTTATGAGTTATCAGTATAAAAGATACAGGTAGTAAATGTTAGTGGTATAATAACAGATAACGATGAACATAAAACTGAACACATATATAATCTGTTAAAAACAGTATTTCTATGGTTGATGTACAAGCGTTATATAATCTGTTAAAAACAGTATTTCTATGGTTGATGTACAAGCGTTATTTCGTTTTTTTCAGTTATCTTGCAGTACAGCTATAATCATGTTTGGTTTCATGTCATGTCTTGTTGGAATTGCCCTTTCATCTATCTCAGGAGTATATTCAAGTTGTGATAGAAACTGGTTCTCAGAAACAGACATAGCATGTGCTTCTAAAATAGGAAAGTATAGAAGTGTTGCTATACCTGCATTAATACTTATCATTCTTTGTGCAGTTTTGAACATTTATACACTTTATTATTTATGCACAAATCAAAGTAAATTTGGTGTAAACTTTCGTATGGGTAGAATGACCACACAACAAATGGCAATGAATAACCAAATGTTAATGATGCAAAACCAGATGTTAATGCAACAAATGGCAGCTCAAGGGCAAGCAGGACATATAGCTGGTCAAAATTATTCTGGTGTTCATATGGGAACAAGCTCTTATGCTGGATCTGCTTATCCAATGGGACCTAATCCCGGCTATCCCATGGGTCCTGCTGCAGGCTATCCAATGGGTTCAGCCGCAGGTTTTACCATGGGTCCAACAACAGGTTATCCAATGGGACCAGGTATTCCTCCTCCTGAGCAGCAATTTCCTGGACCTTATCCACAACCAGAAGCTTCATATCCACCAGGGCCAATTGGACTATCATCAGATGTTAAAATTGATTTGAATCAACCACCAGAACAGCCATCTGCTCCTCCACCATCTTATGAAAGTGTCACTAAACAGTGAGATACAACAGGAACATCTGCATTGTTAAAATGTAACTGCTGTATTTGATCATGCTTATAAAAAATCACTTTGTAATAAAATACTGTAGTGTTTTCAATGAGATTAAAGTTAAAATTGGCATTAAAAGCAATTTGAATGAGCAGTTAGAATTATTATAAACCTCAGTAAGAAATACCATGAAACTTATTGTAGCGAGAAACACCATAATACATTTTAAGTACGAATGCCTTTTTACCCTATTTAAGTGGAAATACCATAAACATTATTTCAGTGATAGACACCATAAACATTATTTCAGTGATAGACACCATAAACATTATTTCAGTGGAAAATACCCTAAACATTATTTCAGTAGGAAATACCATAACCTTATTTTAGTGAGAAATACCATTAACCTTACTAAAGTGAGAAACACCATTAACCTTATTTTTATAGTAGAAAATACCATAATCTTCTTTCAATGGGAAATACCACAAACCTTATTTCAGTGAGAAATACCATAAATATTTCTAATGAGAAATGTCATAATCTTATTTCAATGAAGACTTTGTTTAGTTATCTAAATATGATAGTGGATTCTTTACACAGGCTGCAACATTCAGTGTGAGAGAAATGGCTGTTTATAACATACACAATTATTTTTTATCCAAAATCAACATTTTGATACTGACAAGAACCTATTATTATTAATCCACCTACTTTTAATAAGTCTTAAGCCATAGAGTTAAAATTAAACCACCTAGAGTGGCCATCCTTCTGTTGAAAGTCCTATTACTATTTTATGACTTCAAGTTAAGTAAAGAATCATATTACTTGGTATGTAATCACTTAAATGTTCGTCACAAAATATGCTTGAATCTCGGTCTGATATGAGAAACTAATACCTTACACAAGTAAAGTTGACAAGGAAAGGCATTAAGATACTATGCAAAAGAAGAAGAAAAGTCAGACCACTGCATACATGTTTAAAAAATATATCTAAAAGAAAATATTCATGATAAAATAAGTTTTACATGAAGTGAAAGTAACTATGTCGATCTGATTCTCGACGCTAACATGGACCTTATTTCATAGTCAACTAAATCTAGAATCTAAAATATTTAAGTATGACATTTCCAGGATTTTATTACTTTCTCAATTATATTTTAAATTTTCCATAAACTTTTATATATATATATATATATAATGCATGCTAATGATAAAATTGTTTTAACTGCAAATGTGAAATATTTATTTGTTCTCTGTTTTTAGTGTTTTATATTTTTTTTATCTCATGTCATTTATATATTTACAATATAATATAAATTTACTTCTTTTAAAAGGTATTAACATTGTCTTTTTACTTTTTATACGACCGCAAAAAATTTTTGCTGTCGTATATTGGTATGATGTTGGTGTCGTCGTCGTCATTGTCCGAAGACACTTGGTTTTCGCACAATAACTATAGTTTAAGTGAATGGATCTCTATGAAATTTTACCATAAGGTTCAATACCACAAAAGGAAGGTTGGGATTGATTTTGGGGGTTATGGTACTAACAGTTAAGGAATTAGGGGCCAAAAATAAGCATTTTTCTAGTTTCCAGACAATAACTTGTGGAATGGTGTATGGATCTCTCTGAAATTGTACCACAAGTTCCATACCACAAAGGGATGGTTAGGATTTGATTTGGGGGGTTATGGCTCAAACGGTTTAGGAATTAGGGGCAAAAAAGGGGGAAAAACAAGGATGTCCAGATTAATGGACAAATACTTTAGTACAAAACATAATTTAAAGCAGTGTAAGGGAGGTAATTCTAATACATCATTTGAATTACCTCCCTTACACTGCTTTTAAATTATGTTTAAAGAAATGCATATTTATAAAGGATGACCAGTAAAAATATCTGCAAATGTTGCATCTTTTTTTTTTTACAACAAAATCCATATGAAAGATTTGACACCATATTTTAAATTCTATTACAAAAAAGATTAAGTTAGCACTATGGTAAATTTAAATGGGTAATTATGGTTGCAAACTCCATTGGAAATTTGAATTGAGATTATGACCATATCTTGAGGGAAAGAATTTTTTTGGGGGAAAAAGGGGGTGGGGGTAAAAAGAAATTGTGGGGGGTCAACAATTTTTTCTCATTTCAGATTTCAGAAATTAAAAAGAAAAATTCTTCAAATATTTTTTTTTTTGCAAAAAAAAAGAGGGAGGGGGGGGGGGGGGGTTAATATGCAACAGCATAGTGTATTGCACAAAAGCAAAAAAAAGGGGGGGTATTTTTTTTTTTTTTGGGGGGGGGGGAGGGGGGGTCAATTGGCAACAGCAAAGTATATTGCACAAAAGCAAAAAATTGAATATAAATTCAAATCATATAACCAATTCTAAGTTCTTTGACTACAGTTATTCTGTGTCAGAAACCTTTTATGTGTCAAATGTTTAATTACAATCCAAATTCAGACCTGTATCAAGCGCAAATATTGCGTCCATTTTGTCCCAACTGTTCAGGGTTGGACCTCTGCAGTCGTATCCAGCTGCGCCCGTCGAAGCAATTTATTACTTTTAATATCGATCAGAAATATACCTAATGATACATGATTGTTTCATACATTATCCATACCAGTATCAGGTAATATTTTTGGTTTAAAGTACTTTTAAAAATAGATTCAGACATGTTAGATATGATTTTATTATCGGGAAAATATAAACTTTGATAGCATTATTTGTTTGCATATTTTCCTGAAATCATCAATTTAGTGCCCTTTGTGTCCAATTGCAATAATAAATGCTTACAAAATTTTCTGTAACAGTAGTTTACCATGAAGTTATGGTCACATCAACTTACAACTTTGTAAATGTTTGTTCTAGAAACAACCATGAGGGTATGTACATTATGGTTAATGCAACAGTATAGATATCAATGATTTAGCTGAGGTTCATTCTTTATTTTAAGGCTAAGCAGGATGTATGCATAAAATTAATTAAATTTAGTGACATTTTGGTGTAAATTATAATGTAACTTTAAAATATATGACAAAATAAGGTTTTAACCAAAATATGCAGTTGCTATAGTGTGAGGCACGGTGCTGTTTGGACACATATTTTGGTTTTTTAACTGTTTTTTTTTATAATTGAAATGGCTATTAGTTGGATCTATATAAAAATACAATGTGATTCAAGTGCAAAAATATTCGATGTTTTATGATGATTTATTTTTAAGCACATTAACAGATGTGTTGTGATAGTATGGCATTAGACTGTCCATTAGGATCTTTATTTTTATATTGTTATATTGAAAGTGGAAAATAGTCCATTTGGCCTTTTTTTTTATAAATGAATCTCATTTATTGTCAAAGATTTTGTGATACATTTACTTAGAATAGACTTTTGAAAGGTATCTATACAGGACAGCTTACATTTACTGGAAAGTCAAACCCAAGCACTTAAAACAGTTGCTGTATCTATACTGTCTTGTTGAGTTTAATATATCAGATTGTATCAGTTTGAATTTAAAATTCATGCTTCATGTTTGACAATCTCTCCGGGCATTCCTGCTTCCTCCACCAACAAAATCTGACCGCCACGAAATAGCACAATAATACTAAAAGTGGCGTTAAACACCAATCCATCAATCAATCATGTTAGACAGAGTGGTGTAAAAATTCTTTATGCAGTACATTTGTATTATTGCCCAATTAGTACATGTACTAAGATAAAAAGAACTATTCTAGGAGATATACTACATGGATTATTATTATTGAAGAAATAAAACTAAACAAATCATACATAACCAAAAAAAGAATTATTACACAAATATGGTAAAAGACTCCAATGTCCATACAACTTTATGAAAATGTTTTCACAGCCTGAACCCAAATGTTAAAAAAAACACCATATGAGTTAGCCACAGCGATAACAATACAATTAAAAGTAAAAAATCAATAACAGATACTTATGAATACTTTTTCATTTCCTGTGCTGGAAAAAAAAGAGAGAGAGAGAGCAAGGAAGTTAAATACAGACGTTTATCCCCTGCAGCCCCCTTATTTAAAGAACCTGGATGGAAAACAGTTGAAAAATAATACCACAAATATTTACTTTAATATAAATGTGCACGTCTGAAAGCACCAATAAACCTCGTTCAAAAGTTTAAACTGAAATCAGATAGTAATCCTTACTCTTTGAGAGGTTTTACTCAACAAAATCTGATAGTTCCTTAGACAAAAGCTGAGCTGTTTAAGAAATCGTTTGCTTATTATTAAGAAGTAGTTGGCGCAGTCCTTATGTTCTCTTTCGTAAACTCGACCGAACATAAACATTTATCAATATAATACAACACTCTCATATGGGAGTAGCCACTTGTAAAAGTCAAGTGCAATTTTATTCCAATAATAAATACACGAAATTCATTTTATCTCAATGAAAAATGTCTGTCTCTACATAGCACTTCAATATTTACGACCCATCTTTTATAAGTATTTATTTGGAAAAAAGCCTGTAGTACACTTGACTGCAATGATTCGAATGTCTTAAGCTACTACCAAACTACCCGTGCATGAAATTCTACCCGTATTCTTTTATATATCCAGATGTGTACCTTAAAACCACAATAAACTTGTATCGGTATATGTACAACTTTGATAAATATAGTTATACGTTTCTGATTTCTACAATGCATTATTTTGATTTGAATAAGCAATTTTTTTTTTACTACGTGTGCCTCTATAACGGTTTTTTCCTTTATAATGTTACATTCAACTATATGATTTTAAATTAACTATGTGTAAGTATCTGTTTTTGATTGTATTGTAATTTGTATGTGAGGGCATCAGAGAGGATTATTATATTAAAATTAACTGTGTTTACCCTCTGTAAATAAAGAGCTCAATATTATTATCATTTTTAAAGTCATGAAACGAGCCATGTAAACATATTTTTTTTATGTTTCCATGCGTTCCTATTTGTTAATTAAACTTTTCCATAAAGTTAGTCAATGATTTGGTGTATTTTATTTGTTCTATAATATCCATCATTAATATTTACCTTTCAGTGCGCGTTTTTTTTTACATTCTTTCATCAGGGTTTTTCCCTCACACAAATATCTGCGAATTAGTGTACGGGAAGACAATAATTCAACTGCAGCACATTTCTGCCCCCACCCACCTCCCTCATTTCTGAAGATTTTGATACGATAAAGAATTTTCTTTTTCACAAAAGTCCAGGTACGCTTGTTTTTAAGAAAACTTAGCCATTCAAGTATATAAAACATATTCAACTTTTTTTTTAAATTTGAAGTTTCATATGACTTTAAAGACATTACTTATTGTTATTTGATGAAAACAAAAACTATCATAGATATTTTTCTTGATTCTGAATGGACAGTTTTCCCAAGGTTTTGCTGGGGTTCGTGTTGCTCAGACTTTAGTTTTCGATGTTGTGTTTTGTATACTGTTGTATGTCATTTGGTCGTTTTTTGATTTTTGCAATGGCATTTTCAATTCATTTTCTACACATAAGTTTGATTATTCCTTCGATATATTTCGCCCCTCTTTTAGCCATCGATGGCGGACACGTTTGTTGACTGACATGGATAAAAAAAAACACAAAGTTTATAGCCTACTGCCATGGATAAAAAACACAAAGTTTATACCCTAAGGAGCCTTCATCACAAGTTTCATTGAAATTGGTTCTGTCGTTTCAGAGGAGAATAGATCTTTGAGAAAAATTATGACAGACAACAGACACCGTGCGGACGCAAAGTGATGACAAACGTGATGACAAAAGCAAATTTGGTATTTTGAGCTACGTGAGCTTAAAATTGGTTTTCAAGAGAAGTTGTGTTCCCAAGGGGTCATTGTGTCCCAATACTAAGATAAAATGGTCATGTCTGAACCATTACATAAAAAAAATTGAAAACGTATAGTAGGGTTAACTGCACAAAATGACAAACAATTCTACCAAGTATAATTGTCCAATCAAAATTAATGGGACATATGTCCAAGAAAATAAGAAGACAACTTATCCTAAACTTTTTCTTTCAACAAGTCTTTAAGTTTAAAATGGGGAATACTAGTGTAATGGGTAGAGTTCAACTGTTTTATACTATTGCAAGGGGAAAGAGACTTATATGACCTTATATCGTATGTATTCTAACTTGGAATCGTTCAGTATCCATACTCTGATTCACACATCACATAGAGTAGGCAGTTTCATAATAACTCTGAATCGCAGCTTTGATAGTTGATAAAATTGATATTAAAAGTTTGTAAAGGTGGTTCGTGGAGTACTTTGCAGACTCTTATAACTAAATAATGAGTTATGTTACTTGGTATGTAATC